CATCATAATTTGAATTATAAGTATAATTTGGATGGGAATAACCTAACAGTGTTATGAAAGAAAGGGTTCTTGGTGTAAACTTCGATCGGTCTCTAAAGCCATCCAAGCAGCGTGCTATTGCTAGTGGTAGGGCAAATAGGATTTTAGGTTGTATCTAAATAGGTTATAATTTCATTGTATAGATCATTGGTTAGGCCACATTTGGAATATTGTGTTTAATCTTGCGCTCTCTACTTTAGGAAAGACATTGAATTGTTGGAAAGGGTTCAGAGAAGGATTACTAGAATGGTGTCTGAGATGGAGGGGTTGTCATACAAGGAGAGGCTGAAATCTCTCAAATTGTTTTTCTTGAAGTTAAAGGAGAATCTGATTGAGATGTTTAAGATTGTAAATGGAACTAATAGTGTTGATGCATCATCTTTTTTTATATTTAACAGTGAGAATAGTAGGACTAGGGGACACAAGTATAAATTTTGGCAAGGTAGGAGTCATCTTCAGCTAAGACAATTTTATTTTTCTATCAGGGTGGTTGGCCTCTGGAATGGGTTGCTTTCAGTTGTTGTGGAGGTAGTAAATTTAAGTGAGTTTAAGAGAAAGCTTGATAACTATTTGAAGATAAGGGCTGGCTTTAAGATTTTTTAAAAATTATTTTAGTTTAGTGTAGAGGATGAAATGGACGAGATGGACCAATAGGTCCCATGTTGTCCCAAAATGTTATTTTATGACAGCAACCAAATATTTTATTTTTCCTTCCTATCTAGCTAGAGCAAGTCATAATTAAACAGGAGCCCGGATCATGTTAACAGGTTGATTACTTAATAATAGTACATATGTTTAGATAGTTTAGTCTATGTATGACAAACACAATTAAATGAGCAGTTTATTCAGCAATAAATCATATTTTTGATCAAATAAAGAATAGTAAAACATTTGATATGCATTATTTATGAAGTGTTATACCTTAAGGGACTTGCCCTTGACTCTCCAATTCTTTGTTATCACAATTAATAAATCACTGGGTCAGACATTTGACCATGTATTTCTTCCAGAGTTAGTCTTTTCACATGATCCAATTTATCAAGCAGGTTTGAATATAAAACCAAAATATAGATCCAAATTCTAATCAAGGACCACTTGCAGGTGATGACAAAATATATGCCAAAAATGTTGTTTTTTTGTGAAGTACTGGAAAAAAGATAATATTTGTTAATATGTTCTTATTATAGTGTATCAAATTTTTAGAAAATATGTCAATAAAATATTTATTTAGAACTAATTTTCCAAAGCAAAATAGATAAGCATTTACTAACACGTGATGGACAGTCAACAGTTTTAAAAATAATTTTAAAATCTAAATATATCAAGCCAATCTTGGAAAATATTTTATCCAATTTCCTGTGTTTCCAAACAGTTATGTTGTAAGTTACAAAAAGAACAAAAATCCCATGGATATTGATTAAAAAAAACTTATTTTCAGAGACTGAATAATTTTATGAAAATGCTGTAGCAGTTGATAAAGAACAGTTGTTCTATGTTAACTGCTACAGTTGTTTAGTTGTTCTTTGTTAACTGCTACAGTTGTTTAGTTGTTCTTTGTTAACTGCTACAGTTGTTTAGTTGTTCTTTGTTAACTGCTACAGTTGTTTAGTTGTTCTTTGTTAACTACAGTTGTTTAGTTGTTCTTTGTTAACTGCTACAGAATTTATATAGAAATTATATTTTTTTAAATCTTCAGAGGTACCTGAAGATTCCTTTTCATATATATAATAAAAAATGGAAAGAAAACAAGGGACCTATTACCACAATTGAAAGCAACCCATCCTGTTAGAAAAACAATCCTCCTACCCTGCCAACATTTATACTTGTGAACCTTATTCCTGCCATTTTCATAAGTACAAAAAAAGATGATACATCAAAACTACCAAATTCATTAACAACCTTAAACACCTCAACCAAATCCCCTCTAGCTCTTCATTTTTTAAAAAGAAAGCAAGTTCAGAAATCTTAACCTATCCTCATAAGACAGCCTTTCCAACCCATGTAAAATTATAGTAGCCCTCCTGTGAATCCTTTCCAATGTCCTATCCATGGTAAGGAGCCCAAGACTGTAAATAATACTCTATATGTGATTTATAGACCTTTCTAGACTTGTAATAAATACTTCTGTGTGTGTGTGTGTGTGTGTGTGTGTATATATATATATATATATATATATATACA